CGGGAGAGGGACTCAGTGGCCGGGTGGGGGTGGGAGCCTCTACTCCAGCCGGGATCTCGCGAGACGAGGCCTGAGCGCTGCTCAGCAGGTGCGCCGGCCCAGGAGCAGGTGCGTGCCCAACTTGCAGAGCTGCGACCTGGCCATATCCTCGCTGCTGCTGGCTCTGAGTCTGCAGGGTGTCTTGGGGGTGTCTTGTTGCTGGTGGGAAAAGAAGCAAACCTTGATGGGCTTCCCTGAGCTGAAGGGGAAACTACCTGGGCCTGCTTTGCCTGTCGTCCATTTGCAGGAGGGTTTGCCTTGTTCTGATTGCTACCTTGTTCCACCCCGACCTGTGCGGTCTGATCCATACTACCAACCCACCTTATATCAGCAGCTTACAGTGCCAGGTTGAAGAATGCTTTTTACATTTTTTAAAAGATTTATGTGGGGCTGGAGAGATGGCTCAGCAGTTAAGAACACTGGTGGTTCTTGCAGAAGACCTGGGTTCTTCTGCATGGCAGCTAACACCGACATAGCAGCTAACAACAGTCCGTAACTCCAGTCTCAGGGGATCCGACAGCCTCTTCTGACCTCTGCGGGCATTTGCAGGACACAGCTGCACTTACCTACATGCAGGCAATACACGCATACACATAAAAATAAAAGATTTATGTGTATGTTTGAGTGCCTGCATGTATGTATGTGCACCAGGTGCGTGCTTCATGCCCATGGAATCCAGAAGAGGAAGCCAGATCCCCTGAAACCTGAGTTACAGATAGTTGTGAGCTGCCCAGTGGGTGATGGGAATCTGAACCCAGGTCCTCTACAGAAACAACAAGTGCTCTTAGCCATTGGGCCATCTCTCCGGCCCCTGCTTTTTTACATTTTAAGCAGTTGAGAGCAAGGGGGCTATTTTGTGACAGAAAAATTGTAAGAAACTCACGTCATTGTCCGTTACTAAAGTTTTACTGGAATACTGTTATAAACAAGCTTTTTGTTAATTATGTGATGTGAATGTGTGTGTGGAAGTCAGAGGACAACTTTATGAAGTCTGTTCTCTCCTTCATGAATTCCAAGGATCAAACTTAGGTACCTTTACCTGCTGAGCCATCTTGCCAGCCTGGTATAAATAAAAGATGTAGCTTCTCTTAGTCAAGTGTGGTGGTACATGCCTTTAATCCTAGCACTCCGGAAGAAGAGGCAAGTGGATTTCTATGAGTTAGAGGCCAGCCTGGCCTACATAGTGAATTCTAGGCCAGTCAAAGCTACATGTTAAGACCCTGTCTCTAAAGATGTTATGGGTCTTGGGGCTGGAGAGATGGCTCAGAAGTTAAGAACACTGGTTCTTCTTGCAGAAGACCCAGGTTCGAATCCCAGCACCCACATGGTAGCTAACAACTGTCCATAACTCCACTTCCAGGGGTTCCAACAGCCTCTTCTGTCTTCCGCAGGCATTGCATGACACGAGTGTGCTTAACCTGCATACAGGCAATACATGCATACACATAAAATAAAAATAACAAAATTTTTTTTATAAAAAGATGTGGGTCTGGTAGAAAGGAGCTAAGATGAATTACCCTTTAGAAGAGCTTCATCAGGAGAGCTATAGACATCAGAGATGGCATGTGGCAGCTAGATGGGTGTGTAACCTCACACCTAGCACCCTCGGGCTTATTTTGTGTGTGTGTGTGTGTGTGTGTGTGTGTGTGTGTGTGTGTGTGTGTTTGCTTCTGTCCTGTACGATCCAGCCAGTGGTCGCAACAGAGACAGATGGCTCACAGCACCTAAAATGTTTACTATCTGATTCATTCCAGGAAACTGCCAAGTCCTGATTAAATCTGTATTTTCTATGTCCATTCTGCCCAGACCACGCTTCACCCTAATCCTCTCCTGGCTAGCTCTTTCTTGTCACTCAGCATGAAGTTAAATATTATCTTAGGCAGCCTCCCCTCTCTGGCTCATAGAGTATCTCTAATGAATTGCCCAAAGAAGGTGCAAAAGGTGCCTTTCCTCCCAGGGAGCTGAGCTCCAGGGTGCTATGGAGCTGTGCCAAGCTCTGTGTGAACAGACATGTCCCATGGTATGCCATCCTTAAAGAAAGCTTGAAAAGTGAAGAGAACGGATGACAGCAGTGCCCATGCTGGATACCAAATTCATTTCTTTTTAAGTCTTTGAGTCATAGGAATTTAGAATTCAAAAAATCAAATCAGCATTTTCCAAATCTCTGTTACCTGTGTATGTAGCTCATGGGTAGAGCACTTTACCTAGGATACACAAGGCCCTGACTTCCACTCCCAATACCACACACACACACGCACGCACACACACACACACACACACACACACACACACACGCGCACGCGCACACACACACACCATAAAATTTCTCTATCCATAAGGAGATAAATGAATTCTCTAGGCAACCAAGTTTATGGAGTCCAATTCTACAGTAAAGTCCCTTTTACAGTCTATTTTCTCCATTTTTATTTTTTTCTTTGAACATATTAATATTGGTTATTTCAAAGCCTTTTCTGACCCTAATACCTGTTCACCTATGAAACTCTTTCTGTGGACTATATTTCTCTTTGTTTTCAGTGATCTGGCCCTGCCTTGCTGAATTTTTGTTGAGTGGCAGACATTGTGTAGGAGAAATATATAGTTTCTAAATAATGCTGATTAGCTCTGATGAGAGCTGGCCTAGGTACTGATCACTGATCCATTAAAGGCTAAGCTGGATGAAGGACAGGTTTCACTTTCAAATTGACACCATCTGCTGTGTTTACCAAGTCCCCTCTCCGTGGTCCTAAGCATTAACCTGCATCTCCATAGCATGGCAAAACTTTGGAAAACTATTTTGTTTTCTGGTACTTTCTACTTGACTTCTCAGCCTCCTGTCCTGTACTATATCCAAATTTTCCAATTATCTGGAGCCAAAAACTTTCATCTCTAGGCTCATTTTCTGTCCTTCTCTTCTCCCAGGGAGATCAGCCTCCCAAAGTCCTCTGCTTGTCTTGACAGCCCTATGAAATGAACAAAAGCTCTGTGGGTTTCTCTTCCCTCCACCCCCACTTAGCAACAGTCCTCTCACCTGGAAAGTTTATATTCTCAGCCTTTTCCCTGGCACCGAAATTTGTAAGTGCCACCTAGGGAGAAAGTGTCAACTCACCCCATTACAATTCCCCTGTTTCCAGAATCCTGAATTGTGGCCCCTGTAGTCCTAGTTTCTTCCACAGATCTCTGAAAGAATTTAGTGGGTGATGGTGATGATGATGATGGTAATGGTGATAATGATGGTGATGGTGGTAGTGATGGTAGTGATGATGATAGTGGTGATGGTGGTGGTGGTGTTTTGGTGGTGATGGTGATGATAGAGTGGTGGTTATGGTGGTAGCGATGGTAGGTGGTGATGGTGGTAGTGATGGTAGTGATGATGGTGGTGGTGGTGTTTTGGTGGTGATGGTGATGATAGAGTGGTGGTTATGGTGGTAGCGATGGTAGGTGGTGATGGTGGTAGTGATGGTAGTGATGATGGTGGTGGTGATAGTGATGGTGGTGGTGATGATGGTGAGGGTGGCAGTAGTGGTGATTGTAGGATGATGGAGATGGTAGTGATGATAGTGGTAATGGTAGTGATGATGGTAGTGGTGATAGTGATGGTGATGGTGATGGTGGTGATGGTGATGGTGGTGGTGGTGGTGATGGTAGGGTAGTAGTGATGGTGGTGTGGTGGTAGTGGTAGTGATGGGGATGGTGATGCTGGTAGTGATGGTGGTGATGTGATGCTGATGGTGGTGGTGATGGTGATGATGGTGGTGGTGGTAATGGTGATGGTAATGATGGTATTGTTTTCAAAACAGCATCTCTGGTTGTTAAATAACCCACATTAAGAATGTTTCCTCTCTATAGGAGTAAAAAGTACTCTTTTTTAATATTTGGCTTGTTTTTGGTTTTTGTTTCATTAATTTTATTACATTTATTTACTTAATTCATTATATGTGTGTGCATACAAGAGTGTACAGGCAGCACACACGTGGAGGTCAGAGGACAATTTGTAGGAGACAATTCTCTTCTTCAGAGTCTCCATAAGAGCCCCAGGGCTCAAACTCAGGTCATTAG